CAACGAGTTGAGAAATCAACCGGGAAACCTATCTAAAGAACCAAAAACAAGGTAAGCCAGGCCGCCAAAAACAGCATGGCAAAGACAGAGGGACTACTCCCATGCCTCCTTCAGGAGGCCTAACTCGTCCCTAATCAAAGACTAATTCCGGGCTAAATGCTGAAAATGCACGCAGTTATTATTCTATATACAGACCAAATATTCGCTGAAAATGTACATAATGATATGGATGTTGGACTACAAAATTACTGGTTATTTTTGGCCTGTGTGTGTGTGTGTGTGTGTGTGTGTGTGTGCCGCATTTAGCTCTTTAGAAGGCTGGTACTGATCAAAGTGGGTGGGAAATTAGCATATTATCGTGAGAAGAATAGATAGGTCATGCTCTGATGTGCTAAAGGAACACTTGGCATTTACAGGGTAATGTTTAGGCCACGACGCTTGCTTACGAAGAACTACTGGTAAAAAACACAACAAAACATCTGAACTTCTAGCTGCCTCTTGAAAAAAATATCTAAACTCACAAGGTCAACATAAATTGCAACTCTTTCTTCAAGAGAGAAACATAACTGGAGCAAGAGCATGTATGGAAGAGTCTAGAATAGAGTAGAAGTGTGTGAATGTAATGTAAATCTGTTTCAAAAAAACATAGTAATTATATTCTCCATTAGAAGAGGTGTACTAAGTTTAATCATGAAATCTTCTATATACTACACATGGCAGGATCTGATTCTGGTGTAATTAAGGCCAACTCCATCGCATGACCCCAAATGGTCCATGCGGCTCGACATTGAATCGGCCAAGAGGAGGGCCCGGCGGACCGTTGCGGCGGAGAAGAAAGCCGCTGCCGACTACGCCGCCGAGGCCGCGGCCGCGCAACACAAGGCCGCTGTTGACCAGAACGAGGCCATCCTCGCCAAGGCCACGCAGGCAGCGATGACGCAGGCCCTCGTCATGCTAGGGTTATGCCGACCCGGGCCGGCCATTCTCTTCGCCGCCGCCATGGCCGCGACGAGCACAGGATCGTCGTCCGTCCGTCCTCCGCAGTTCCAGTCGCCGAGCTCCTATAACACCGGAGACGGCCGGTTTTCATGTGCCACGGCAGAATGGTCAGACCCGGTTCTCCACATTGCCGGACGGCAGCGTGATCGCGCCGGCTAGTCCCGCCAACCAGGCCGTCATCGACATCAACGTCACACCTGGATTCAGTGGCGCTGGCCAGTCGTCCGACGGGATGCAAAGGAAGCAGCCCTCGTCGATTCCTACGGCCAACCTTCCCGGCGCCCGCAACC